TTTTGTTTAGGTAAGTATGGCTCTAATTTGGGACCAGAGAAAATCTCTCTTATATCCGGGTTTCTCTAATATCCGGGTCTCTTATATCCGGGTTACACTGTAATTTAAAAAAGAACTCATTTAAGAAATTAAATCATCTTTTCTTTTTTTTAACAGAAACCCCATTTACGGAAAATCTGCTCTGGGTGGTAAAATGAAAATGAAATAAAACTAAGACATTATTTAATTAGAAAAGCTTTTAATTGCTTTTATAAATAATTATATTAAGGACACTATTGTCTTAAGAACTTTTTCAAGAATTGTTTATATTTTTTTTTTAAATTAATTTGAATAATTTATTAAGTTTTAAATATTTTCAAATACTCTATTATTTTCACCCTTTTAGATGATATTATTAAATAAAAATATATTTACTAATCATAAAAGTAAATTCTTGCTACTGATAAAAAGTTAAATTCTGCAAGATGAAAGTAACTCATTCGAATACTTGTCACTAATCATTAGATTTATTCCTTGTTGTTTTTTTGTTTTTGTTTTTTTAATTAATTCTATGGCCATTGATTCTTTTTGGTAGGCTCAGTCCTGGCTGTCATCTGTAAGGATAAACCGGACGGTGTATACGAATTCGGATGTTTGTCCTATACAAAATGTGTTAATCACAAACCGGTTATTGTCGAGTGTCCTTTGGGTCAAGTTTTTGATATGATCCAAAAGATATGCGCTTCGTAAGTATCAAAACTAACCAATGTTTTCAGGCTTAGAATTTTTTTTTCATCACCTCGTACACATATTTTTTTGCACCAGGTAAGATAAGCTTCTTAGTAAATTCTCAAGTTTCAGCCATATGTCATGCATATTTTATCTATATATAAAATTCTATGACTTCCGTTAGTCTGTCCGTCCCATCCTCTAAAATAGCTATACATTGATCGATAGAAAACAAAGAGGTGCAAACAGGTAATGAGGTACAAAGCATAGTTGGTTTTCACCAGGGTGCGTAGCTTCAGTCAGTCACGTGCCATGCGTGATACGCGATTAGGCGATCATGTATCTTTCAATACATGACTGACGAGGCAGATTCTTCCCGCAGTAGGCTGCCATTACTTTCTGCGGTAGAGCAATTACAATCCAAGGCTATAGAACCCGGTCTGTCCTGCTATTTACCCATAGCTGGGTGGTGAGAAGAAGATTCATACTTTTTCCAAGGGTATTAGCACGTAAGTGAATGTAATGGATTCGACTGCAATTCGAACTCGGCTCTGCAATTCCTGAATCCAAGCCGCTACCCATTACTCTATCGTGTCTACGTGTAATAAGTCAAGGACAAACTCTGCTCACTAGGTTCATTTATTTATTATCGAATTGAATGTATCTATTTGTATTATCTATTTGTATGAATATATATATATACATATTTCTTATGATCTGTACGTATTGGAATTGCATGTATCTATTTGTATTATCTATTTGTATGAATATAAAATTATTACTTTTAATTATATATATATATATATATATATATATATATATATATATATATATATATATATATATATATATATATATATATATATATTTCTATGATCCGTACATATTGGAATTGCATGTATCTATTTGTATTATCTATTGTATGAAAATATATATATATATATATATATATTTCTTATGATCTGTACGTATTGGAATTGCAAGTATCTATTTGTATTATCTATTTGTATGAAAATATATATATATATATATATATATATATATATATATATATATATATATATATATATATATATATATATTTTTATATGATCCGTACATATTGAATTGCATGTATCTTTTTGTATTATCTATTTGCATGAATATATATGTATATATATATATATATATATATATATATATATATATATATTATATGATCTGTACGTATTGAATTGTATGTATCTATTTGTATGAATATAAAATTATTACTTTTAAAAATCCTAGCCCGTTCTTAAATAATGACAGCCAACTCACCGATAATTTCGACAGTTCAAATGAACGCAACACCTCATCTTATTACCACGAGTTTGACGTACAAGATACATAAACTCAAAGTAAATATTTATATATATATATATATATATGTGTGTGTGTGTGTGTGTGTGTGTGTGTGTGTGTGTGTGTGTGTGTGTGTGTGTTAGGCAAATTTGCCTAGGCCAGTTCATAACTCTATTGTGAGTATCAACACCTTTTTTTTTAACTAGAAGATTATGTGATGGCTCCAGTCTACGAACTGGTGACATAAACTCAATCTTCAATCTTCAACTGTAATCAGGTGACCATGTTTCTTAAAAGGAACTTTGTTCAATTAATAAAGTTTCTGGGTAAAAGTAAACAGGCAGTTCTCCAGCATACAAGACTTACTGCCATATCAGGTTAAAAGACCTGTTCTCATACGACTACTGAAGTTAAGCAACGTTGAGTCTCCTTAATACCTAGATGGGTGACCACTTTGGAATCCCAGGTGTTATAAGTTCGGATGTGAGGCTGCTGTAAAAGATAACGGCTTTAAATTGGAAATTGCAGAGCCGAGTTCCAATTCCAATTTGGTTCGTTAAATCGGACTTACGCGAAAATACTCTTGGGGACGGGGGAATCCACCTCTCCTCCACCCCAGCTATGGGTTAATTAGTTGAACTTGTATCAGTAAATTTTTACAATTTAAGATATATATTCTTGGCTTTAAATAACCTGCAAAAGATTGATTAGACCGAAAAAAAAAAAAATCAAACTAGAGTTGACAAACTTGTTTAAACTTGTTTATAAATTGTGACCTGTAAACTACATACACTAAACAACAATTGTGATCACAAAAAATGACCACTCTTCGATCCTTTTGATTCAAATCAATAGACAAACAGAAGTTCATGTGTAAACCAAAGAATCAGAATAAAATTTAAGATTGTAGCAGGCAGACAAAATATCTCTGTGGTCATGTAACTCTGCATGACGCATTGTATCTTCCACTATCATTTGTGGATATATTATACATTATATTACATGACTAGCAGTAGAGCCCGGCGTTGCCCGGGGATGTAACAGTAAGAGATAGATCAAGTATCGACCATCATAAAGACTGAAAAATAAAATTGACAAAGATTGTTGTTTAAGGTTGACGGACAAGCATGTCTTAATTAGTTTTTTTGTTTTGTTTTGTTTTGTTTTTTTTACGAATTGGTCAAACCCAAACTCAAACAAAAACATTGTTTTCAATCGTTATGAGTCTACCGATTGAATAGAATTTTTCAATTTTATTATAAACAGTTGTCTTGTAAATGGAATTTTTAAAGCATTCTGAATGTAAAAATAAAGAAAAAAGTGTGCAAGACAATAAGAAACACTACCTGCCAAAAAAAAGTGAAGTTTTGTTGAAATCGGTTGAAAAATGTAGGAAATCCGATCCAATATATAAACGTACAGACACACACACACACACATACAACCTTGGTTTTATAATAAAGTATGATTACATGAAAAAGAAGTATATACTGGTCTCGTGAAATATATTCTAGCCTAGTATATTTGTAACCGAGGGTATAAACGGACGTAGCCTAACTTGAACTCTGAGTAAAAAAAAAAAAAACAACTTAGACAGGGTCTATACTCTGAGCTGGGAATATAATCTGAGATGTTACATCGGGTTTCAATCTCACCATGGCAGAATAGTCAAGATGTTTACCTGATAATATCGACATAGGAAGGTGATTCCAGTGTATGGCACCGTTTGGAATTGCCTGAAAGCGCTGTCACGTATGGAACTAAATCTTTTGAGTGAAACTGGGTAGATGAAACGGGTCAGAAGCCGTTAGTGGATGTGCTCACACAAAGTCACATGTCCTCACTTAATTAAAAGATCTTTAGCGATAACCTTGGATTGAAATCTATCTAAGGGATGATATATTGATAAAAACAAAAACAGCCATCCCACAGTAGCCTAGCCTCTTGCGGGCATGTATCAATCTAAAAAAAAAAAGACAAAAAAAAAACTTGTAATGAAATTCCTAAAATGGCCAGTGGATGTGCTAACACAGTCATTAGATGAGCACTTGGTGACCATCGGCTTTCAAACAGTTTCATCTACGCAATTTCGTTCAAAAGATCTAGTTCCACACGTGACACGGTTTTCACGTACTTCCCACTGGTGCCATACGCCGGAATCCGTATCCGGTAAATTGCTCGAAATCAAATGCTCGGCAGTAAATTGCTTGAAAAATAATTTCTCGAATTATCAATTGCTCGAAAGGCAGTTTGATCGAAACCTGTGGTTAAAAAAAAATAAAATTACATTGTTTCTAATATTTACTATAAGATAAAATAATACAACTTTATTGTTGTTAACCGAACAATTAAAATTAAAGAACGAGTACATTTATATAGCAAGTCTTATTTTTTTCTCGAAAGGCAGTTCGAAAACTGTGGTTAAAAAAAAAAAAATAAAACCCGTGCTAAGCATATCCTTTTTTTTTTTTTTTTTGCACGTTTCACATTTCCAGTAAATCTTATTGTTCACTGTTTTGTCCTTAATATATATATATATATCCATCCAAACACAACTTCTTTCCTTCATCGCTCTCAACAAAATGTATGTCCATCACTAGGGTTCAAGATCTCCAAAATTACTGAAATAGAAATAGAAAATAAATATAGAAAAAAAATCAGGACTGCTAAAGTTGAGTGTTGTGGTTCCTTTTATATCCAACTCCGTTGACATGTCATGAGACGGCCCAGTTTAAGTGGTGCTTCGAGCTTCGAAATTACTTCAAAGCAATCTGCCTTTCGAGTAATTGATACTTCGAGATATTATTTTTCGAGCAATTCACTGTCGAGTAATTGATTTCGAGCAATTTACTGTCGAGTACTTGATTTCGAGCAATTTACTGTCGAGTACTTGATTTCGAGCAATTTACTGTCGAGTACTTGATTTCGAGCAATTTACCTAGATCCCGCTGGAATCACCTCCTCAGGCCGATATTATCAGATAATCGCCTCTTTGACTAATTGACCCTGGTGAGATTCGAAAAACCCGATATAACAACCCATAGTATACCACCAGTTCAGATTATACACAGGCGAGGCTGTTTTATACCCGGAGTACAAGTTAGGCTACGTCAGTTTATACCCACATAGAGGCTAGAATATATTTGTCTCATCCAAAATATATCCCCACCTTTTCCCAAGGTGAATATTATTGTATCCAATCCAAAGATGATAATCTGACACTATGGGGATTTTATGCGGCACAAGGCCAAAAGTAGGAAGCGCACAGTGAGCATCGAACGCGTTATTCATTCGTAATTGATCTAGCGAGACAAGGTGGCACAAGGCCGAAAATATGGAGGACCAAGTGAGGATTGAAATCAGAAATCATTCGTAATTCATCTATCGAGACAAAGTTGCTAACTATTATACCAAGTTGAAGTGTCTTATGGCGATTTTCTAAGTGTAGCTAAGATGTGGTACAAGGCCGAAAATATGGAGCACCCAGTGAGGATTGAACTCAGAACTCATTCGTAATTGATCTAGCGAGACAAGGTTGTTAACCATTATACTATGTTGAAGTGAACAAATCAGAGACTCTAAGTATCAGGCAGTGTGACATTGTGTACACTCGCGGGGATCAGTCGAAAAAAAAGCTTGCAATAACTGAATTTCTTCTTTTTTTAAAAAAATGGTCGTATCAGTTCACGATCTGCGGCAGACGGAAATAACGCAACATGAGGTATGATTTTTAAATAAAGAAAGCATTAAATATGTTCCCATTTTATGACCAATAATAACTAATTCATGTTAAATGAAAGGCCGCCATTGAAAAAGGCGTTGTTAAAGAGCCGTTCTAGATTGTGGATATTTAAAAACCTATATTTGTGCTTATGTTTCTATTTTTTTATTATCTTTTTTGATATTGGCAGTCCTTTGACTGTTCCTCCACCGTGCGGAAATTTCAAAGACTGTTCGAAGCTGACCAACAGGAAATACCCTGACATCGATAACGGATGCAAATCTTATTTTGAATGTTACTCTGGCCAATTTCTTGGACACACGCCTTGTCCAAGTGGTAAGTTTTTTGTTTTCTTTTTATCTTCAAACCAAGAATTTATTTAAAATAATTACTTTTACTTCCATATTTCACAAAAGTCTTATTTTAGAAACCACAGTGAATATTTCCACGCAAAAATTTAATTTCACTTTTCTCAAGAGGCATATATTCACGCCGACGTCTTATCAAAGGGAAAATGCTTAATTTTTATGCAGGATAATACGCACCTTCACATAATACGCCCAAGGATATTTTGTGGAAAAAAACTTTAGAGTTTAATTTTTTTTAATTGAATTTACTGCAAACAAGTCAGAAAAGCCACGAAGACACCAGGGGTTGCAGTGGTTCCCAAACTTTTCTCTGAGCCGCATTTTCGGAATGAAAATTTGCTCCTGCCTCACCAAATTTTATGTAATAAAAAATACATTTAAAAATTAAAAAAAAAACAGTGAGAGAGATATATATAAAGGAAGATAACCGCAGATTCGAAGTCAACACATTATCATTGATAACTCTCTCCTCTAATTTGCGGACCCTACTCTTAATACTTGATATAATGCAAAAATGATAAAATCGGTCAATAATTATTTATAACTATTTATACCGGGACTCATGCATACAATTACAAGTAATCTATAATAACATTTTAAATTTTGAAATCCAATTTATTTTTGGCATATGACTTTTTGGAAACTGTTTCTAAATCTTTGATTATTTTTCAATCATTCCGCCTAACCTGCTATCCTATCCCGCCTCACCTGCTATCCTCTTCCGCCTCACCTGCTATGCTCTCTCCCGCCTCACCTGCTATCCTCTCTCCCGCTATCCTCTCTCGCCTCACCTGCTATCCTCTCACGCCTCACCTGCTATCCTCTCACGCCTTACCTGCTATCCTCTCCCGCCTCACCTGCTATCCTCTTCCGCCTAACCTACTATCCTCTCCCACCTCACCTGCTATCCTCTCTCCCGCCTCACCTGCTATCCTCTCCCGCCTTACCTGCTATCCTCTCTCGCCTCACCTGCTATCCTCTCTCGCCTCACCTGCTATCCTCTCCCGCCTTACCTATGCGGCGCGCAACACCGTTTGGGAACCACTGGGTTAATGTGTGTGAAAGAATTAGAAAACAGAAACATTATTAAAGAGTGAGTACGATAAAACTGTAATCAGGAAGACAGTAGATAACGATTGACATTGCATTTAAATTCTTGAAGATCAAAGTTGGTCGGAAGAGTTCCACAAGCTTGAAGAGCGACAATAAAAACTGTAAACTGATGATACCTTGTTGCTAGTCTAGTCCTGCGATTAAATTCATAAAGTCCAGGAACCATAGCGAAGAGCTCATCCGAACAATTACTATGAAAGTATTTACTGAAAAGGCACAGGGAAGCAAGTTTACGGCAGTGGGAAAGCGATTGGTGCCGGGACGTCAGGT